AGAGACAAGGACAGAGATAGAGATAGAGATAGATACAAAGACAGGGAGATAGACAGATACAGAGGCAGAGACAAGGACAGAGATAGAGATAGAGATAGATACAAAGACAGGGAGATAGACAGATACAGAGGCAGAGACAAGGACAGAGATAGAGATAGAGATAGATACAAAGACAGGGACAGACACGGACAATTTTATAACTGCGTGGATCTGATGACGTAAACTTTCTAGTGACAAATCAATAACAGTTTCCATTAAAATTCATTCAGTCCCTCATTCATTCCCACGTTGGCGTTTTGTGTTATTTTCTTTCAACCAGTTGTGTTCACAGCGGCGTTATATTTTTGTTCCATTCTTCAACTTTATTCCATATATCAATTATTGAAGACCAGTTTTCTGCACCTTCTTTTTGTCTCTTCAGATTCTTTTTCCATTTTGTTTTGTTTAGTATTTTACTGTACTCCAAGAACGAGAAATGCATACGCACACTGTGTTCGTTTCCCCATCTTCGTGTTATTCCTGGCCTCCTGCCAATGCACATCTGTAAAGCCAGGCATTCTTCTGTACCTGTTGTTGCCCTCTCAATCCCACCATGTACACTTTACAGTTTTTGTTTTTTCCCCAAACATAACTCTCCGACTTGTAGTACATCGATCGTGGATCGCTTAAGCTGCTGCAGTCACTGTGGTCACAATGATAATAAGCATTGCTAGTGAATCTATAGGTGTTCACGTTAATAATATTAGCATTACTTAGAGTAGATCTGTAGGTGCGATTCTCCAAACATTTATACAGCATCATTACCACAAAATTAGACCCATGCATACGATTAGCTTTGGGCCTACGGGCTGCTAATTGGCCATAGCTGAGAAGGAAGAGGGAAAGCTTTTATGAGAGTATTGTATGAATTGTTGTACTGCGTTCAAAATATTGTCGGTTTGTTTTGTTTGGGGAATTTTAGAAATAATTCACCCATTAAACATCATAAAATAATAGAAAAATAAACGTCTTTGCTTCAATTTTAAAGCTATACGCAGTTAAAATAAGTCCTTTGTGCGCACATGGGTTGTCTTTTTTCATAAGAAAAGAGCTAGTATACTTCTCGAATACGGCATAGCCTAAAAAAACTGAAGCATTCAGCACAGCACTTAAATAAACCCGTTACGTAACACCCCAGCCGCCAAGCCTAGTAAGCACTTAACATCGACCTTGAGCAAATTAGAATCCCATGAGTTAAAACACGTTTGCTGATGATTAAGCTCTCTCTCTCTCTCTCTCTCTCTCTCTCTCTCTCTATGTATCTAT